CAAAATGAAAAACATTAAACACACAACAAACAAAATGAAAAACATTACACAATTCATCTCAACCAGATCACAAAAGAAAAACGGAGTCAAGCCATGTTAGTTCAGTCAAACAGGTGTTTCTGTGCAGGAAAACATTTATCCACGTTAAAGTGTGAAAACCAGGAGGAGAGGAGCGTACGGCGAGGTCAGAGGTCAAGTCTCACCAGGTCGGAGTGACGTCAAGTTAACAGAACAACCATGGAAACAACAACAGAGACGAGCAGAGACACCTCGTCGTTGAAACAGGAAGTCTCACTTTCATCAACGCGCTGAGAGCAGTTTGGTTTGAGGCAGGAAGACTAAATAAGAAAACCCAGTTTGTAAAGTGAGATGCTGAATGACCAAAGAGAACTTCTTGGATATTTAAAAAAAAAACTACCAATCAGCTAAAATTAAACCAAACTTCTCGAAGTGACGAGATGAAAGTAACTCTTCCTTTTAGAGATTAAGAGAAGACTGTTATTAACACGCAGACCCGCTTAATTCAGCGAAAACAGAGGAAGTAACAAATAAAAACACCAGACGGTTAAGGAGTCGGAGGAGAGCGTGAGTTGGGCTGAAACGGGAAGAGCCAATCAGAGCGGAGCATTTCGATCATGTGACCAGGCTTACCTTTTAGCTATACAGTGAGACAAAACGATCTAAAGGAAAGGAGGGAAACAAAAAGAAAAGAAAAAAAATAAAATAAAGAAAAAAATAAAAACAAAAAATGTAATCAGAACAAGTAATTGGTAAAAAAAAAAAAAAAAATAGAAAAAAGAAAGAGAAAAGAATTATCATTGGAAGGCATGTTAACTCAGGTGGAGGACAGGAAAATAAAAGATTTATATCAAAGCCCAGGATCAAAAAACTTCCTGTATTTTATTCAGAGTATTGAATATTTAATATACATAAGCAATTATTAAAAAAAAGTCCAACATCTGAGAAATCTTTTGATCCCGGGCTGTGAAGCTGCATTAGAAGCTGAACACATCGACAAAACAAACACTGACAATTTACATCTATTTAATGTTGCCAGCGCACATTTGAGTTATGCCGTGTAATTCAGCATCAGAGCAGGTCGTTTCTGATGATCTTTGTATAATTAAAGATATTCCAAACAGATCAGCAGCTGAGATGAGGAACAGTTGTCCAAGAAAAACTACTTATTTAGAGAAACACAATCACAGCTGTCACACAACGTCACTGTTAAACACAATATTAGAGTTAGCTTAAATACATCGTACTGATATATTGCAAGGCATACCTGCTGAATTGAATTATTGTGAGTAAATGCCACGTTGTAAAACACAATTAGACGTGGGTCAAAGGACAGTGCACCATTTTAAATTTCACTTAACCAAACACATCACAAGCAGAAGTGATCGGTATCGGTGTAATGGACTTAGTGGGATGCATATGAGTGTAATGTGTACGCCTGGCAGCTCAGCTGATTCCTAAGAGACGCTCTGGAAGATGAATAAGCTTTGGATGGAAAAGAGGTCACTGTGAGGCTGGAATCAGACCAAGAGCTGCCAGGATGAGCGTTAATCAAACATAAAAGTAACGTTTTTACTGCAATAAGAAAAAAAGGTGAACATGTTCAGCTCATGATATGAAGACATGTTTTGTCAGTGCTCACTGGAAGCCTGCAGGACTGTAACGGTTGGAGGGGTGAACCTCTGGTGTCCTACCTGTGTCGGAGGGCAGGTGAGTGTAAGGAGCGGGGCTGTAGACTCGAGCTGCGTAATCCTCAAAAGTGGTGGGCTCCTGGTGGTGCTGCACGATCGTCTCGACGTATCGGGCTCGCTCCTCATAGCTGAGGTCAAAGGTCAAGGTCAAACCCTCCAATGCTAATCAACACAATTATATTTTGTGGGAATGTTCTGCGACTGCTCGGTTTTGGTAAAAACATCAACAAGAGTTAGGTTTTTGTGTTAACCCCCTTAAACACTTTAATCCACAAAAAAAAGCCCATGTTATTGTGAAAACATAATTAAATAAAACTGGTATTATTAAGTTAGAATTGCAGAAACGGGAATCACTACGGTTTAAATGAAGCATCTGTATGACAACTAGTTCATTTAAAACTATAGAAGAAAGCTCAAGAAAAATAAAACATGTTGCAAAAACAAAGATAAAATTAAATTATATACCTGTGTGGAACTTAAAAAGGCATTTTATGTCCTGAAAAGCTTCTTACTTAGAGCCTAATTAATTTCACTAAAGAGCCACTTGTTAACCATTGAATATTCAATTTAAAGGAACAAGGTAAAATAATACAGCAAATGTGTTTTCTGGACAAAAAAACAAACAAACTGGATTTTGTTGGCAAAACAGGCTGATTGCTTACTTGGATTCCCAAATGAATCTACAGAAATCCTGCCATCAGGAGCAAAACAACCAGCTGAACATAAACCAAACAAACAAAAAACCCGTAAGCTTGAGCCATTTTACGACTTTCCATTACAGCGATGAATTCAAGCTCAGGGACTCGGAGGAGAGCAGAGTGAATGAAAACCAGGACTTTAACTGTCCGTCCATTAGAGATAACCTCATTGATAGAATGACATTTGGCCTGTCTGTAGTCCTTCTCATACATCCAACCATAACGCCAGCCACACACACGCTTCAGCCCCATCACCCTGCAGTTGTATGACCATTTGCTCATTGAGCTCCAATAAGGAGGCATTTTCAATGAGAGCCGAGTGTTTCTGCGTTTGTGTCCGTATTTGATAAAGTCCCCTGTGTGTGTGTAAGAGCATGAGCTGATGTCTGAGTGTGTGATGGGATTAGGCCAATGAATCTTCAGAATGAAATCTGTGTGTTTGTGTCTCCCGAAGGGGATTGGCCATCTGTACCAGTGCCCGTGGGTTTTCTATTGGGTTAGAGCTCCAAAGGAGAAAGATTCAGGTCTAATGGTAACTGATTCGGTTAGAGACAATGATAATAACAACATGGCTCCTTCAGAATGGTCGCAAGAAGAAAGGTTTAGCTGTGCGGAAACTTAAAACTTGGGAGTGGGACGTCAAACTTTTTTTAAAAAACCTGATAATCACAAGAAGTAGCTGTTTGAAAAACACTTCATGCTGACAAAGTGAGGAATGCGAGGCGCAAAAGAAAGTGAGACACTGCCAAGGGGAAGTTGCAAAAAGATGATGGGAGACGGCAGGAGTGAGGAGGAAGAGGGGTGAGAATCCTGCAGCGAGTGACACGGGAGGTGAGGAAGATATTTAAATAACAGATAACAATGTTAATGCAAGTGATCCAGGGGGAGCTGAGAGACGAGCAGCCGCCAAAGTCTCATTTGTGATCCCACCGTTTGCCTCTTCCTGCATCACATCTCCCCTCCCTCTCACTCAGTGTGTGTTTATCTGAGGGGGAGATGTGAATTAGAAGCAAGCAAACTACACCTAATTCTCTTCATATCAAGCTTTAATAACGTGAAGCAGTGGGGAGAAGAGGAAAAAAAAGCAGGATAGTTTTTGAGAAGGCTGCAGTTTCTGAGAAGGTGAAAAGGTTTAAAGGACACCTGCAGGAAATAAAGAGCAGGGGGAAACACAGAAATGGAACAAGAACGAAAACATACAGAAACTTTGTGCTACTGCTGGGATAAATGATGAGAACATCACTTCACTTTTCTTCTTCTTGCTGCTTTTAGCCTTTTGTCCCGACATGTTCCTCACAGCGAGAGTTTCCACCTGCAGACTTGTGTCACGGTGTCACCAACTCCCCACAGCGATGAGGCAGCATCAGGGGGGACTGACATGCACATCGGCGGTGATACCACAGCTTTTATCACTGATAAAGAAGTACTAGCCCTATTCAATACAGACTTTTAGAAGAAAAAGGATTAAAATGGAAAAAAGTACTTGTTATTTTTCAAGAAAAGTATTAAAATGTGAGAAAAATTGTTGTAATTACAAATCCATTAGGAAGGCCCGTCAGAACTGGTTGGTGGAGGACGTCAAGGTCAAGGTTCTTTATCGTCATTTGCATCGCATGTGGTACATTTGGTGGAACAAAACTGTGTACACAGGATCCCAGTTTCATCCAATAAAAGTATAAATTGTAAATGTGCTGCCATACCAGCAGAATTTTTTTTTTTTTTTTTTTTATGTAAAAAACATTAGAAACAATGTGTTTTTCTTGCACCTAGTCACAAAATTCAGAGCCAACGATTTGCAAATTTGCTCTGGCTGTTGTCTGGATTGGTTTACGCTTCTCTTCAATGTCACATGGGGAACCTGAACACCAAGTGTGGCCTGACAGACTGGAACTAATGTCTATATGGTCCCTAATGTCTATATGGTCCCTGTACAAGCACAGCTAGATGTGCGTTGGCACTCTTGGCAGAAAGTGGAAATTGTTTTGGGGGCAGTTTAGACTCCAACAGGACCCTGGTCTTTGATAGCCATGGATATGATCTTGAGGTGGTCATCAGATTAAACTCATTAGATTCAAATTTGAGAACCTCAGTCCCATCTCTCTTTTTTGCAAATTAAACGAAAATGTGAAACATGGCCTGATTCGAAACCTAAAAAAGATGGAATGCTCCTTCCGGGCCAGGAATGAGTCTTTGCCTCAAGATGTGGGGTTCAAGTATGAGGGTGTCTTGTTCACAAAAGGATGGTAGAACGAGGCGAAAGATGGATTGACAGAATGAGACCTCATCCACAGTACTTTCATCTATTGTGGTAAGGAATGGGTTGAGTCAAAAGGTTAAGCTGGTCCATCACTGTTTCAACCTTCAGGATCATAGGGGACCTATGAGATCCATACTTCAGGACTGTATGGATCTGACAAAAGAAAGATGATCCTGGATACAAGTGGCTGAACTGAGCTTTCTGTATAGGGTGGCCAGGCTCAGCCTTGGTGATAAGGGGAGGTTAGTCATTTTAGAGGAACTCAGAGTAGAGTTGCTGCTGCTCCTTATCGAAAGGAGTCAGCTGAGGTGGTTTGGGCATCTGTGGATGCTTAAACTGCCTCTCTTTGAAGGTTTTTCAGGATATACTACTGTGAGGACTCCCTGAGGCAGACCTAGAACTCACTGGAGGAATTAGGTAACCTCTTTGGCTTGGGAACACATTGGGACACCCTAGGAGAAGCTGGCGAGTGTCAGTGGAGAGAGGGATGTCTGGGTTTTCCTCCTGGATCTGTTGACTCTGTGATCTGACCATAAATAAGTGGCAGAAAATGGATGGATATGATTCTGTTGGTATCTTCAGGCGTGTCTTCAGCATGCACTAAAGAGGTTTGCTGCTGGGTGTGAAACAATCAAAATCAGAGTAATCTCCTTCAAATCTGAGGCCATGGTTCTCCACAGAAAAAAGATGGAATCTGAGCTGGGATGAGGTTTGTTTGTTTTTATTTATAATTTTTTTTAGCTCAAGCAGAAGAGTCCATTTATCTTAAAGTCTTGCTCATGAGTGACTGTAGGATGTAGATACCGTATTTTCCACCCTATAAGTCACAGTTTTTTGCATAATTTACATGGCCTGCGACTTATAGGCTGAAGCGACATATTTATGGATTTTTTTTCCCATATTTATAAACCAATTTTTGGCTGGGATATGACCGTTTTCATTCATTCTGACTGAAAAAAATAATAATAGAGCATTACCACTTTCAGCCACTTGATGGCAGCAGAGTAGTAGTAGCAGTATGGCATGCCGTTGTATCATGTAATAGGTAAACGTGGCAAATTCAAAAAAGTTCAAGACAAAAACAACAACTTTATTTATTATACTATACTTTATACTTTGTTTTTTTCTTGAACTTTTTTGAATTTACCATGTCCTGGATGACTGAGAATCTTCACCAGCTATTAATGATATAATTGGCTTGCCATATTACCCCCACCTTCATTCTACTCGCTGCTTGGACCGACCGTCAAACCAGCTGTACCACCCCGGTGAAATACTGCTAATTTGACCATTAAAGTGCATTTATTAAGCAAATATTAGACTGAGACACACCTTTGCTATAATTTCGAGTAAAACAATTAATTGTTTAGGTGCTTTTCTTGTTAAATTTCGAAGAAACGAGCAGCTTCCTTCCTTCCTGATTTCCTCCCTCTGCACAATCCCGGACCACTGAGGCAACAAAACTATTTTTGAAATTCAGATGATTTGACCATTAAAATGTGTTTTTTAAGGAATAGTTCAACTGAGACAGACCTTTACTATAATTTTGAGCAAACAAATAATTGTTTTTAGGCGTTTATCTTGTTAAATTTGCACAGCGACTCGTCGAATGCACACGTTTACTTCCGCGTATCGGCTTTTGAAATACAGCCGATTTGACCGTCAAAGTGCATTTATTAAGCAAACGTTAGACTGAGACACAACTTTACTATAATTTCGAGCAAACAAATAATTGTTTTTAAGTGTTAATCTTGTTAAGTTCCTCCCATGCATGCTCCCGCAGCTGCCATTTGGCAGCCCATCGATTTTTGGCACAACACAACCCACATTTCTGGGTTGTCAGTGGTGACACGTAACAAACGCAACGCATCAGCAGTGACGCATAATAGATGCGATGTATACAGCGAAGTGACATATTTATGGATTTTTTCATTTTATTAGACAAATATGGACCGATGCGACTTATAGGGCAGAGCGATGTGTACGGCGGAAAATACAGTAGTAATATTCTTTTTGGTTTAGGAACACCTTGGGATCCCCCAGGAGGAACAGGGGAGTGTCAATGGAAAAAAAAAAAGTTTGGGTTCTCTTTTGGACAAGTTACCTTCACGACGAGATCTTAGCAAGCGACAGGAGTTTGCAAATTAACATTTAAATTAGTCTGGTGTATATC